ATAGGAGGGGCTATGAAGAAATAGATTAATCCAGGCATGACATTTATACGGGGAAGCTAAGCAGACAGTGATAGTAACATTTAAAGAAAATGTGACTCAGTTATTTGCTTTTCCAAGAGGTCGCCTGTAAGCCAGACATTACAGTTCTAAAATGACATAAGACGACCTCATGAATAATTTGTACTCTAACGTCATGAACTTCAATTACAAAGTTACACAGAATTTCCCAGCATAAAAGCCAGATCTATATTTTTGTCATGTACAAGAGGAAGAGATAAAGGGGAGTATACCACCTGGGGGATTTGAATGAACAGTAACTGTGTGTAACCTTAGGGGCTGTCTTGTTGGGGTTTCTGTCCTGCCCAGTTCTCACAGCTGTTTAGCCCCAAATAAAATCACACAGATGTCTCCATAAGTTATAAAGCTGATTGGCCCATTAGGTCAGTCTTCTTATTAGTTCTTGTAACTTATATTAACTCATTATTTTGATCTATTTTACCCAGTGCCTTTCTCAGCACGGCAGGTCACATCTTGCCTCTTTGGAGTCTGGGCAGGAGTGGGAGGAATCAATTTCCTCTTTCCCAGAATTCTCCTGTTCTCATTGTATCATTTCTACTTCCTGTCTGGTTTTCCCGCCTATATTTCCTGCCTGGCCAATCAGCGTTTATTTAAAACATGATTGACAGAATACAGACAATTCTCCCGCACCAGCTGTGCTGTAGGCAATTGACAACTTTGAGACACCTGTGCCATGCTTAGTCTCTTCCAGAGTACACTGTTATTCATGCTTCATATACTGTTCACTTTACAGTGCACAATTCACAAGGTAACGTGAAGGTGTGTTAAAGAAAACTATCCCTGTCTTGAATGTCAAGTGACAAGTAAAGAATCTTGCTGTTTTCTAAAGGCCTTTCCTCAGCTAAACTGTAGAACCAAACTTGTTTCAGACATTTGAGATCTTAGCATCTTAGAGAAATAAAGCAAGTGTTTGTCTTTGTAACACAGCCATGTGCTAGGACCAATCCAGGAGGAAGTGTTTGGAATCCACAAAAGTTCAGAAGGAGATCCAAGTCTAATGATAATATGACCTGCTCATGTGCAGAAAGAGAAGTCTTAGGCCTTCTGTCATTACCATCCATTCCTAACTTCATGACATCTTTCCATTTCAACATACCAAGATTTAATTGTGACATGACTTGGCTTGTGTAGTTCAGTGGAAATCAAATTTTTGAACCTCATTTTTGATAACTTTCAGTTAGTGACTTTCCTCTTGATTCTTATTTTCTTCAGTTGAAATAAAATTTCTCTGCAAAAAAAAAAATTTATCACGCTTCAACATTCAACCTTTGTAATACTTCCTTTTAGTTTCCCAAGTAAGAAATAAATGAATGCAAGTATAAGATTGTTAGAGAAAACATTTCCCAATACCCTGAAATATCCTTTCTTAAGCAGTTTCATTATCTCCAAAGAAAGTGTTCAAAAACACCATAGTGAGCACCCTCAGGGGTGCAAACCAGAAAGCCTGTGAACTCTGTTCAAATAAGCCAGGGAGGTGCCTGCAAGGAAGGCAAAGGAAGAAGGCTTATCTTCTTGAATCCACAGGGATAAACTTTGGTTCTACACGTGACTATTTTAAATGTTTAAACGACTAGTTGTGAAGAAAATGTCTATTTTTCTGTCTTTAAATTATTCCAAACTTTTTTTTTCAAAATTTCATTTGGTACCTAGGACTCAGCTTAGGGAAAAAACTAACTGTTAAGTATAAAATGGAAAGTAAATGCATCATGTGCCTATGAGAGCAGGATGCGGGGAACCCTTTCAAGTTCACTATGGAAAACTATCCCACATACTTCTTAGGATGAAGAGATTACAGGGTTCCCTAGCCAGAGGGTTCTTAGACCTTCCTCTCCTTTTGAGTCTCACTGATCAATAGCTCTAAAAGCTTATGCAAAAGTCTGCAAAGAGACCTTGTTTGAAAGACAAAGTTAAGCAACTTTGAATTTGCAAAAAGTCCATAAATGTAGCCTAAATAAAAGGCTAATGCAAAACAGTGAAAAGACTGAAAGGGGCTAAATAATGTTCCAAGGATGCACACATTCAGATAATCTTCCATGGTGCAAACTTTGGAGAGAAGGGCAGTTGTGGTAATACAAATGATTAAATATTTAGAAAGCAAAATAGCAACTGTTAAGTGACCTTAAGAAGACACTTCCTGTCATTTCTGTAAGGCTACACAGTAGCCGTCTTTTGGGTACGGATGAATGGAAAGGAAATGTTCCTTCCACACCTTGACACAGGAAAGCTGCCTTTCCTACAGTCTTGTAAAATACAGCATACTACAGCGACTGTTTCAGAGTGTTCATTTGTTCTACTGGTTACATTTACTTTTTAATAACAGCTTCTCATTTTTAATTCTCAAACATATATTTTGTCTCTTATAAGGTAAATGATCATACTGAATGAGGCAAAGGTGTTTGTCAGCACTATTTATACTCTTTGAGAAGCATGAATAAATATTTTAAAAATGCTTTGGCCTACAGTGGAAAAACAGAAAATAAAATATCTATGAGGCAATTGTTTTAGAATAATCTAATGTTTTTCCAGTTTTACCTTTTTTCTGTTCTTCTTCATTCCCTCTTTACATAATATGAGCGCTATAACTTCTTGTTCATGAAGTTTGATGGTTTGTCAGTCTAATAATAGCTCTTTTCTTGCTTTACACCTTCAAGCTTTTCCCATTGAACTTTTCTAGCTCCAGCGATCAGTTTCTCCATTTAAAGCTCTGTGCCTTGCTAAACTGGTTCAGACCTCCTGCCTAAGATGGATGCTCTTCACTGGTACTGGAAACTATTTCAGCAGCAGATAATCCTGAAGTCGGCTCGTACCCAGAACACATTAAACTGTTTATGCTAAATGCTGTAAAGAAAACTAAAACTCTGTATGTAATTCCTTCCCACATGAGAAGTTAGGTAAAACATTGAAACTAGATGACATGCCAGATGAACACTTAATGTCTGCAATATATTGTTTTCTTTAAAAAGAAAAATTTGTTGGTATGGAGGAGGTGTCCTCACCTGTGCTGAGTTTCTGTATATAGAGCACCTTCTTCAAGACAGAACTTTAGAACCAAAAAAGCTTTTTATCAAGTATTACAAACTCCAAAATCCTCTTTCCCCACTGATTGCAAGGCAGATGCAGAGCGAACATGAACAGAGGTAAAATGCCCCCCAAGTCTGTCTGTAACTCTCCTATTCTGCCTCCATCCACAATAGCAGCAACTGTATCTTCACAAATTAAATTAAACTTCTATGACGTTTTTGTGCCTTTGCCTTAGTTTCTTAATATTTTAAGTTCCTACTGCATTCAGCTGTAGAAGACAAGTGGTTTTAAGACCCTACAGCCACGTTAGGGTTAAGTTTTTGTGGCAGGAAAGGAATCAGCCAAGTACAAACACAACTTCCAGGATGGAAATACATAAACTTCATTGGCTTTCTGGTAGTACTGTAAAACTAATACATATTTCCAATTAGTACTGAAGAACTGAGGTAAATATCTATGTGTTAAAAATACTGAAAATGTTTTACATTATTCTATGCTTTTTGATGAAAAATAAATTTTAAGAAGTAAGGTCATTAATTAATGGTTAGGTTTAACAAGAACTGACAAGAGTTCTGGGATTTTGTTTGCTTGTTTAAGATCCTTAATTTTAAAAATACAGTATACAACTATCTCAAGGTTTCCCAAGACAAATGACTAGTCTTGGTCCAAGTTCTGAAACTTACCGGAGATGTCTGCCTTGTTTTTTGGGGGTGTGCATAAAATAATATTCTTTATTAATATAATCCTACAGACTATTATGTAATTACTATTATGCTAAGGAAACTGAACAAAACAAAAATAAATCCTGTAAAAAGAACCTTATTTATACTCTCTGAGAAGCAGGATTTGTAAAATGATTTGCGAAACCCCTCCCCCGCCCGAAATACTGTGGGAGGAAGGCAAAGCAAGCAAGGGGTATAAGACTTAAAAAGATGCTGCGCATTGCATGGCAGACTTTTCCTTCTGGAATATTCTCTCAGTACACGACTTGAGTACTTTTGTGCCTTCCCTTTGCCAGCTGGTGTGATCCGGTGCCTGAACGAATGGCCTCTGCTGGGCTGCAAGCTGCTCACAATACATCCTGGTGAAATAATAGCATGTGATCGCTCTAGTTGGAGCAGTTAATAACTGGTTAAGCAGCATTTCCCTCCGAGGGCTGTGTTCATCGCCCCAAAGCAGTCACTCCCAACCCATCCCATCCTTCCTCCGTCTTTAACAATGCCTCAACTTCCTTCTCAAATTCCTTGCTCCTATCCCTGAGCAAACGCCAAGACCCTGTATTTGTCCTGTCCTCTTTGCACAAAGCCATCTGCTCCAGCGAAGCCCAAGCCCGCTAATGGGGATAAAAGCGGACGGGAGCGCAGAGGTCTGGCAGGGCCACCCGGCCGGCAGGTGCGCAACCCCGGCGCGCACAGAGTTAAAGGCATCATCGCAGCCATTAGAGGCAAAGTTGGGCGCCGCGCGAGCCCAGTCCGCGCAGCCCCGCGCCCGCTCC